TGCCGGGGGCCGCCCTGCCACTCAACTTCCAGCACAGGTCAGTACAGGACCGCATGACCACCTCCTTCTCCCCCTCCTGCTCATACCCTCCATGCCGAAGGCAGCCCACCCCCCCCCAACTCAAATCCAGCAGTGAAAGAATTGGTAGAGTAAATGACATATTTATTGCTAGACACATAACTCTTTACATCATATTGCCTCAATATTCTCACAGAAAGGCAGTCTTTCAGTATGTGTACATTTTGGTAGTCCCTGTAGTCCCCTAATATATTACTGCAGTGGGCATTCACAACTGGAATTGGTGTTGAGGTCTGGTGTAGCCAAATCATGTTCATCTGTGGTTGTTTTTATTGTTTTGTTGGTTATGTTATTTGGAAACAAAATGATTTATTTTAGGGTCCTGTTCAGGTTTTCTTGTTTCATCTCTTCTGGTTCATGCAGAATTAGAGGATTCATGCTGTTTTGGTTTTCATTTTTACCTAGACTTTAACTGTATGTTGCACTTTTCCAATTACATATCAAAGTCAATGCTACCGAGGCCCATTTTTGCTATAAATGATGCTTATTGTGGTTTGTAAACATCTCAGCACAACACATTCAAATGCTTGTTTGCATTGTCATTAGGACTGGTCATTAAAAGTACAGCTGGTGCACAAAATTACGAAAATATTTTTTATAAGATAATGCAGTATTACAACAGCACCGCAAATTATGGCCACACAGTTAATATAGAGTTTAACAACACAACTCGAACAACGTCTCTCAATAACAATGGAACATTATGAGCTACACGGGCATAGTATAATGTATTGCATGCCTAGTTACACACTTTTGTTACTGTATGTGTGCCTTTCATTGGTTTTTAAATGTGAAAAAATAGACTTTACAGGCTTCACAAATTACAGACTAAAATGCAGTTCCATATGTGCTAATGCACGCTCTTTCTTTCTGAAATGGTGTGCACTGCCAGTACAGTAGTTCACATTAGAGACAGTAGTGTCAACTCATTTGGGATCATATTAGAATTGGGGCTTTGCTACATTATTCCAGTCTTAATAAGCTGTAAGTCATATGGGGGTGTGTGGGTGCACGGATGTGTATTAGCAGGAAATTTTGTTAAGGTGTTCTGATTTGATTATGGTGAACTGTAGAAGTTTTGCCTTTTCTCCTTTTAATTGCTATTACCCTGTTTGGCAATAAAGAGAATGTCTCTGATTAAATTAAAATTGCAACTTAATCCTAATCAACTTTATCAACTCACCATCTATGTTCATGGAACAGGTCTTTCTCCAACAGGGAGAAATTAGATTACTATGTATTAACTCTGGAATCTTGTCTTCAGTAATGATGACCTTGAGGTTTGGCATCATTACCTGTCCCGCAGTGCAAAGCGTCCAAATGACAGCATCACTCTTGCTGGTTCAGATTGACACATCAGGCATGTTTCTGCACTGACAAAGGCATTTGGCTACTGAAAGTGCCTTTAAAAATATCCCTGTCCTGCTGTGTTGGAATATACTTTGTTAAAATGCTGTATGCATAATGCCTACATTTCCTCCACCTATTTATGAGAGAGCATGGAATGACTTGAGATGGAGGGTCTGTTTATCGTAATCCTTGCTCTCTCCCTCTCTTATTCCCTCTTCTCTCTTACAGGAAGCACGCCCTGAACTGTCACAGAATGAAGCCAGCCCTCTTCAGTGTTCTCTGTGAGATCAAAGAGAAGACGGGTGAGTTTCTGCTTCACTCGTCCTCTTTCTATTTTCTATTCTGCACAAGTTGAGATATAATGTGCTTTTGCTCCAGTTCCCCTTGCACCAGTAACTCTTTTATTGGAAGTCTGTTGATTGAGTATTGATTGTACCTGTTGTAGAACTGAAGTAGTTGCATGTATTGTGTATGATTTGGTTCAAGATTTCCTTAAATATGCATTACTGTTTGTTGATTTAGCTTAGTAACATATTTTTGGCCATTGCCCAGGCTTCACAGTGACCATCTGAAATTAATCTTAGGGCATTTTCAAACCTGCTGTTTGTTTGCACTAGTCCCAGTCAGTAGGCCAGTTTGTAAACTTGTTCCATTTTCCTCTTGGTTCAGTTTCTTCTCACAGAGAAAAATCCAAGTGAACCAAAAACACAAATTATGTGAGAATGTTCCCTCAGCTCATTGGTTAAGTGAAGGTGGGGCAGGAATGGGAGAATAAACACAGGAACAAGAACTGTGTTCTGTACTGGTAAATACTCCTATGGGAAAAAAATTGCTCTGCAACATGGAGATATGGTACAATTGGTATTTGCTCAGTACTGTTGTATTTATCTGGACAATCTACCAAACAAAACTATGTCAACCAAATGCCTAATGGACTTCAAAAACATCTCGAAAATAAAGTATTCTTCATACTTTGCAAAGAAGGCATGTCGCCTACCATTGACCGAGCGGAACAAGGGAGCGGCTTAGCCCAAACTTGCAGAGTACTCCTTATAGTTGGTCCAGATCGAGGTCGGATCACGTTCCCACCACAAATGAACTGCTCCAGACTTTATATGGGACCAGACCAAACAAAAGTCAAGTGTTGCAGTGCTGTCATTTTGGTTTGATGTGATAGCTGTGTTCAGACCTGCCAAAACGAACTGCACCAAGGGGGAAAATGTACGTACCAGAGGATTATTCAGCCGGATTAAATAAGGCAGGTGTGAAAACACCCTTATTGGAGCAGTGCCATTGATACATGAGCAGAACTTGCTGCAGAACATGCTAACAACTTTCTTATGTATCAGATTGCAATTCTTTTCCATTTTGACCTGAAGTACCTGAATAAAATAAATATACATTGCTTATCTTTACATTTTTGACTTCCTGTCAATCCAAATGATAAACATTAATGTAACAAAATGTATGAACGGTGCAATCTACAGGCTTTTACAGTTGGTTGAATGTCACAGCAGTATTTACTATGTTAAGGTGGAGCTATTGGAACTACCAGTAAGACAAACTATTATATTGAAATTATTAGATTTAAAAAAAAAAATCAAACCTGAACCTTGGCAATAGTGGAGCTAGTTGACAGCAGGCAGATAGGAAAAAACCCCACAGTGGTTATTGCCTTACAGTCATTCTGTTATGCTGTTTCAGTACAGAGAGATGTCACTTTTCCATCACTGTTAAAACATCACCACGCAGTGTAAGGTAACTGTGCATTGGGAATAAATTGCTATGCGTATTAATGCAATGCATTCATCCAAGCACAACATGAAAAGTAACAAGAAACTATTGACTTTGTCTTGACATATAATAGTAAATGTAAATTACACATGATCTCATGGAAATCATTGCCTGTGTAAACATCTCAGATTTGCTCTTTTATCAAAACTACTCAAAAACACTGCTTGTTCTCATCTTATTAGCTGTTGGAGTCAGCTATCTGACTGATTCTAGTGGGGTTCAAAGGAGGAGGTCTGGGATGGATGGCAGATTGATGGTTATGGTGGTGTGAATGGGATAGGTTTTTGAATCCACTATCTCTGCCAATCTCTCTGTGTTCTTGTCTTTCTATGTGCTTCTCTCACTTGCCTTGTGCATCTTCTAACAGCAAAGCTCTCTTGTTCAAATACAATTTGAAAATGCTGCACTGCTGCCTGTTGTGGCTCTTTGTCAATAATGTATTATTGCTCTCTAGTGATTGGAGAAAAGTAAAGGCTAGGCTTGAGTGAGTGGGGCAGGGTACACTGTTTCCCAGGCAACCAGTGGCCTTATTTACCCTAATGCCATTCACTTTGATTTTCACATTTAGTCTCCCAGCAAACTAGAGAGAGGGTCTTATACAGTAGGCTCAGCAGAAAAAGAGAAAAGGTATGGAGATGGGTTAACAATAGATTTGTGCTTGAACCAGGAGATGTAAAGACATTTGGCTATGCCTGTAGTGTGCTGGCCATCTGCCATGTAATGCCCTTCTAGCTGCACGGTGTACCTGCTTTGGCATTTCTCTGCTACTCCATCAGACCCCCTGCAGGCCCCATTATGTGCCTCTGGAATGTGAATTGACTTCTCTTCAGTGCAGCTTGTGGAAGACCCAATCAGTAGTCCTCTAGTATCTCCACAGATTTTCTGCAGTCTGTTTTTTTTTAGTAACAAACATACACTTGTGTTGACACACCCACGTACACGCACCATCTCTCTTATACACACACACACACACACACACACCCTGAACAGGGATAAAAGCAAACTCGGTCTTGGGTCTACTCCTGCTGCCTTGGTCTTGTCCTCTCCCCCTCCTTTCCTCTGCCTCATTCCCATTCTTGAAAGAGAAGACTTGCTCTGAACTCGGGGCTTTGATATGGTAATGTAATGGTGGTGTGGAGGAGGGGAGGTGGGTGTGGGGGATGGGAGGTGAATTCCTTTGAGTGCTGCAGTTGGTTAGATTGTTTTCATTGTAAAGGAAATGTTCTGCGCAAATGCCAGTAAACCCCCCCCTCCCCAACAGTGCCTGCATTGTCCTGAGCTTTCACATTAAACATGACCTCCATGTGTGTGAAATTTTATTTTTGTTAATACTTTATTAAAGCTACAATTCAAAAAAGAAGAGAGAGGAAATGATCAAAGTTTGGAGCCAGTGGCTTTGCTTCAACTCAGTTCTGTTCTCCCTCACTCTCATGGGTATTTGCTGCAAAAATAGCTCTTGGTGCAACGGGACAGTTTATGCCAAAATCTCTCACAAGCCACTACATTTACTTTCATGTAGTTTGGGCATGTTTGAGGCATTTCTCCTTGTTTGTATTCCTGATGCTTTGCACATGACGGTGAATCTGTCAGTCACTCTGTTGTCACCCTGCTCATGTACCTCTTTTTCAAGACTGAATATTCTGTTGTTTGTTTTAGACAGATTTTAAGTGGAAATAAAAACTTTTCTATTGGAATTGAAACAGCAATATACTTTTTTTTTTTTTGCTTTGTCACCTCTTATGATTAAGTCAGTACATCTGTCATTGTTCTTAAGATATGCTGTACATTGCCATTCATATGGGACATGTATACCATGCAACAGTAGTAAGGGTTTAAGAACAAGGACATCCTGATGGCCTGTATCCAATGTGGTATTAACTTGAGCCATTTAATTGCTCTGTTAGATGGCCAGTTATGCCAGCATCCTAACAATGTGTCTAGGGCACTGGTTATTTGTCTTCTGCCTCTCTCCCTTCTTTGACCCTTCTCTGGAGTTGATTGGAGAGGTTTTATTTTATTTTTGAGCAGATGCATTCTTCAAATAATGAGTTAACTATTGGGCTTGCAGGACTTTTTTGGTTCTTCTTAACATTGCTAACTCTAAGAGACGAGACAGTCCAAGTAACTTCAAAACAGTGCTGATTTATTGAAAGGATCACAGGTAAAATTAACATTACACGCTCAGGTATCTTGCACCATCAAACTGCACGCAGGCAGATGTAAGATGAAAGACCCTGAACCCACCAGGCCTATACATTATATCCCCTCGGTTGGGCTAGCCCCATACTACACAGAAACGTCAACCGGGACGTCTCTGTTGCCAGCTTTGCAGCTGG